TGTTCATCGATGATGCTTCCCAGATATGTGAAGGATTCTACATCTTCCAGAGTTTCGCCATCAAGAGTGATTGGATTGCTGTTCTCCGCTTTGAATTTGAGGACCTTAGTTTTCCCTTTGTGTATGCTGAGGCCTACTGATGCAGAGACTGCTGCTACACTGGCTGTCTTCATCTGCATCTGTTCGTGTGTACGTGATAGGAGGGCTAGGTCATCTGCGAAGTCCAAATCGTCTAATTGATTCTGAGCTGTCCATTGTATTCCATGTTTTCCTTCAGATGTTGAGGTCTTCATAATCCAGTCGACCACCAGGAGAAAAAGGAAGGGAGAGAGTAAACAGCCTTGTCTGACTCCGGTCCTTACTTGGAATGCATCAGTCAGCTGTCCTCCATGCACTACTTTGCACTGTAGTCCGTCGTATGAGTTCCGGATTATATTGACAATCTTCTCAGGAATTCCGTAGTGTCGAAGAAGTTTCCATAACGTCCTCCTGTCTACACTGTCGAATGCCTTTTCATAATCAATGAAGTTGATGTATAATGATGAGTTCCACTCAACTGATTGTTCGACGATGATCCGTAGTGTTGCAATTTGGTCTGTGCACGACCGATCCTTACGGAATCCAGCTTGTTGATCTCGAAGTCGGGCGTCTACTGCATGCTTCATCCGGTTCAGCAACACTCTGTTGAAGACTTTCCCTGGTATTGACAGTAGTGTTATGCCTCTGTAGTTTTCACATTTGCTCAGATCTCCTTTCTTTGGAATCTTGACGAGGTGTCCTTTCCAGTCCATCGGCACTTGTTCCTCCTCCCAAATCTTTTTGAATAGAAGATAAAGCATGCTTGTGGTTGTTTCGATGTCTGATTTCAGTGCTTCAGCTGGTATGTTGTCGGGTCCTGCTGCTTTCCCGTTCTTGATTTGTCTGATGGCCATTCTAATTTCTTCCGTAGTTGGTGGATTGACATCTATAGGAAGATCTATGTGTGCTGCTTCGATGTCCGGTGGATTCATTGGAGCCGGCCTATTCAGGAGTTCCTCGAAGTATTCTACCCATCTGTTACGTTGTTGTTGAATTTCGGTGATTGGCTTGCCTTCTTTGTCTTTGACCGGCCTCTCTGGTTTACTGTATTTCCCTGATAGTTTCTTCGTTGTATCGTAAAGCTGTTTCATGTTTCCTTCTCTAGCAGCTTTTTCTGCCGTCGTTGCTAGTTCTTCAACGTATTTCTTCTTGTCGACTCTAATGCTCCTCTTCACTTGTTTGTTTGCTTCTATGTATTCAGCTTGTGCTTGGACGTTCTCTGCTCGTGTTCGGCTGTTGTTTATTGCTGCCTTCTTGTTCTTCCTTTCTTTGATCTTGTCCACTGTTTCTGTAGAGATCCATTCCTTATGATGGTATTTCTTTAGACCGAGAACCTCTTGACACGTTGAAGTTAATGCTTCCTTGATGCCTTTCCAGTTGTCCTCCATAGTAGTTTCTTCTTCTTTCAGTAGATCTCGTAAGGCTTGGAACCTGTTGTTGAGAGCTATCTTGAATTCATTGAGTTTGACAGTATCTCGAAGGAAGGCTGTATTGAACCTTTGTATTGCTGTTTGTCCACTTGTCCAGTTCTTTTTTAGCTTCAGTTTCAAATTGGCTACAACTAGGTGGTGATCTGAAGCTACGTCAGCACCTCTCCTGGTTCTCACATCTTCCATTGTCCTTCGGAATTTTTTGTTGATGCAAATATGATCTATTTGGTTCTCTGTAGTGTGGTCCGGTGAGATCCATGTAGCCTTGTGTATACGCTTGTGTGGAAATATTGTGCCTCCTATGACCAATTTGTTGAATGCGCATAGATTTGCAAATCTTTCTCCATTTTCGTTTCTTTCTCCCAGTCCATGTTGTCCCATAATATCTTCATATCCGGTGTTGTCTATTCCGACTTTGGCATTTAGATCTCCCATTAGAATGGTGAGGTCCTTTCTTGGGCACTTCTCTATCACTGACTGCAGCCGCTCGTAGAATTGATCTTTAATGTCGTCGTTGCTATCATTGGTGGGTGCATAACATTGGATAATATTCATTAAGATCCCCTTCTTCTTTGTTTTGAATGATGCTTTGATGATTCTGGATCCGTGAGATTCCCATCCTACAAGTGCATTTCGTGCTACTTTGGACAGCATAAGAGCGACTCCCTGAGTGTGTGGAGCATTGTCCTCTTCGTGACCGGAGTATAGCAGCATCTCTCCCGTAGCTAGCCTTTTCTGTCCAGCTTGGGTCCAGTGGGTTTCGCTGATTCCCAGTACTGCTAAGTTGTATCTCCTCATTTCCATTGATATTTGACTGGTCTTCCCGGTTTCCCACATTGTTCGATCGTTCCATGTACCTATAAAAATTTTTGCTCTGGTTGTTAGAAGGGGCATCGGCCTCGTGGCTTCCGAAGGAACTCGGCTTTCACCATGAAGCGTCATAATTCTTCTAAATGAAGACCTTCTAACTCCCAGTGCAGAGTTAAAATGGTTTGGATTATTTTTTCTGGTAAGCGTTTTTTTAGCGAGTTAGTTTTCTACGGGATGGGGACGCTAACCCCATGCCCAACCCTCCTCCTTTACCCGGGCTTGGGACCGGCAGCAACCCTATAAGAGCTACAGGCGGAGTTTTTTCATCTGTATGATGAAATTAATGTGTGAAATACAAGCATCCGAAATACTCACAATTAGACATTTGTTAAATCGTTGTCTTGAAGGTGTTAAATCGATAGAATATAGACGAAGTTAAGCGAGATATGTGTATTTTATGGTTATAATGGTTGGTCATATTGGAATCCACAACAAACAATAAAGGCTTTTGTTCCTCATAATTTTCTTAGTAATCACCTGATGCATAACAAAACCTCGTTTTCTTTTCATCTATAAATAACGCACATTGTGTCATCGAATTCGCCAGGAAAAATGGCATAGAAACTCTGCATTTTCTCCAACGTGATCCTAGTTAGTCAGTTAAGAATGAACTGACTCGACAGTATATCTATTATCACAACTTCGTCTTTCTTCAGTGGACGATAAATCAGTTTAAATATTATGTCACAAGAGTTATGTAGAAGAAAAAAAGGAATCCTCAACCTGAATTACCTTGACCTAACCGTCGAGTAACTTTGCTTATTTATCATCTATAGAAGACAAACAGAACAATACCACATAAATGATTTATTTGGATATTAAGAGAATGGAGAGGCAAAATAAACACGAATAACTGACTGCTGTATGAGCCCCTCCCATGGGGTTCATTCACCAGTCCAACGAGGTAATACGTAATCACGACGAAATTCGGAAAACAACTTAACTTCGAGTGGTTAGTTCCCTGACATATAAACGGTTCATTTTGATGGATAATTTGGTTAGTGCCAAGTGATATTCCGCTGACACTGCATTCTCCAGGTACACATAGCTCTTACTATGATGACGTCAACGGGATTCGCAGTACTGGAACTTTTATTTTTGCTGAAATCCGGTCTCCTGGTACTCACTCATCTAGAACTAACTACCCGTCGACCAAAAAATAATTAGTTTATTCCTGTATAAATAGTGAACAGAACGCATCAATCTCTTTGCTTTTTGCAGTTGCTTAGATTGGTCTACTGTGACAATTATAATACAGAAAGTTCCCAGAAGTGGCAATCGGCTTTACTGACACCAAGAGAGCCTAAACTGACACTACGAACTGGTTCCATTCCTGAATTTTTGTCTTTGGATTCCTTAATAGTTATTTCAATTTATTGTCAATCCTCAGATTCTGTTATTTGCAAGTCTGTAAAGAGGTCTTTGTGATAGCACAGTTTCCTTGAATAATTTAACTTGCCAAACTACTAACTATACTTTTCATCCAAATGCTGGAAATTACATAAAGATTATGGGAAACAGTAGTACAATCACGTTTTGAGTGATTGTTGAGTTGTATTGTAAATTATTGGTATTCTTTACTTAACAAGTCACACACCTTCTCTGGATTCCTTTCCAGAATCCTAATCCCTTGGGATCTCAATCATTTCTCTTACTATCAACTAGTATTTTATTTTTTCAGATATCTGAAAGACAATGACAAAGATTATAAGTTTCAATATTTAAAGAATCGTCCCCCACAACACTGAGATTTCAACAAACTAACCCCTCACTATTTTTGACCAGAAATTTTAGTGTTCATCAATGTTCCAAACTCAGCTGTAGTGCGATTCTTATTATATTGTAATTGTACCGACCTGTAAGAAGTTTTGACGATGCACAAAGTTTTGCAGAACATGTAGCATATGGACCCAATACATTTAGATGAATGTTGATTTTCTTAGTGACCCCATCAGATAACCCATCCTATTAGTTAGAAGTTGGTGATCCAGAAAGCTACACTGCTTGCTAGTAATGACATATTTGGGAATGGAAGACTCTTAGGAAATAGCATAGCTTGATTCACGTAATATTTGAAGTAGCTACATATTGTAAACAATTAGGCATTTAATTGAACTACTACAAGTTGCTAAGTCACACAAACTGTTTTGTGTTTTTGCGTGAAGTGTCAATTTAATGATATATTATTTCGCGCTTGATTTAAATTCCAAATACATTACTTCTGGTCGTGATTATGGAGTTCTCTCTGACTTGAACATTGGTCACGTTGTATTATAGTTTGTTTTACTTTATGTACGCTTGAATAGCGTTTGTGACGTGAAAAGTTATGGGGTAATGTAAGACAGAAGCTTTTTGGAGTTTGACCAAAATCTAAAGGATCACATCGACACATTAAACACAAGGTAATCACAATTTGGTCATAGATAACTAACATAAAGCAAAACTAAACAGCTTCACCGTCGGTTAAATATGTTTTTATTCGAGATATGAAGAATCTTGTTAGACACTACTTAGTAACCTGTAGATTAGAGCTCTTTCGTTACATGTGCTGATAAATTTGTATTTTAAATGTACTGGTTTATTCTTAAACATGATACACTCTGAATTCCTCCTTGTTACAACTGTTAAATGAAATAATACACATGTTTCCCATGCCTTAAAAAAGTAGTAAGAATAAATTTTGTTTTAAAAAACGCAACTAGACTTCGATAATATAGGAAAAGCAATTTAAAAAAGAAAATAGAGTAATATTAATACTGAAGGGTATAAAGACAATACATTTTAATGCTTAATTTAACGTGGGTAAAGGTCTTGCAGAACTCTTACGTTTTTTCATTGAACCGGAACTCAGTGTAATAGGCTTCATGTCTGTATTAGAAAGATCCATATAATTAGACTGAGTTTGTGAATTTTTCGAATAATTGATGTTATCATCTATCAAACCAGAATCCCATAAACGCAGATTATTATTGTTCACTGAACCAGATTTATTGTTAACTTTACTAAGAATTTGTTCTTCTGATAAATCTAGATGTTTTAAATGTGTTTTAGACAAATTTGATGGATTGTGCTTGTTTGCTGAAGCGAGCTGTTGACTGTTGTCATCATCTTTACCATGAATATCTTCTAAATATGATTTTTTGAAACAAACCATTAAACAAACGAGAATGATAAACGTTATTAAAGTATTATCATAGGTTTATATAACTATCAAAAATGTAATTAGAAGCAAAATTTAATAGTAATCAAATACAGAATGATTTAAGATAATGGCTGTATTCTTACCTACCTGGAGGAGAACAGTATAATGTGCTTGGGGGAAAGTATTCAACGTTTTTACTGAATCAAGAAAGTGTGCTACAAAGAGTTGTTCTATCCGCTTTTCTCTTCAAATTTTTTTATCCACGGTCTATCATCTTCTGCAGAAAACACTTTGTTAAGTATGCTGATGGTCTCGCTGTATGTATGCCGATTTCTACTTCATTACATCTCCTTAAAATGAATGAGTTATTATGTTTCAATTGAACAATCGTCTGTTGTTAGTGGTTTCACACTTAATCCATCTAAGTGTCAAATTGTTAACCTTAGCCTGAGACATGAACAACACTGAAAAGCCTTTTTGTAAACCCATAATAGGTTTGTACTTCTAGAGATTCTGTAATAAAAACAGTGTAAAAGGTTATTTATCTTGGTGTACGTTCTTCTTCTGATATCTCTTGGTTTTGTCATGTTTTATCGATATCCAATAAAGTTTTATGTCTGGTTTATTATATAAAGAGGCTCCATGCTTTCGAGATTACTTGACACTTATTGTTACGATTTGTAAATTATTTCACATCACCTATTATTTTTAATTGTTTCCCATTATTTTTCCTGGGCTTTTAAGAAAAGATTTTGTCGTGTTGCGGAGAGAGAGATGAAGCGAGTTAGCAGTGTGTGGTGAATATTTTGAGGTCATTATGAACATGGTTGTGGATAAAAATTTAAAATCTTGCAAAATTTTGCCAAGTGTTATTTTATTAGATACAAACTTTCAACTCCGTCCACATTTTTTTTCTTGTATATATTCTGGTAGAACAAGGCGCTAATACATTAGAATCGATGTGATCGAACAAAGGTATAAAAGCTCAACAATAACTTATCTAGCAAATACACTGTGTGATGGTTAGGTTGTTAGAGCTGACCTAGTTAGTAACTTGTATTCTTGAACATGTTGCTAATTAAAAGCTATACAGATTATTATATCACTAAAACAAATCTCAGATAGTTTATTTAGTTTTCGTATGCACATATGCATATATCTCGATTCGATATAAGGGCGGCCTGCTTGAGCATCTGGGCTACCTGTTCCTGCCATCTAGATATTTCAACAAGTTATCTATTTTTGTTTGTTTTAATATATCATTATGTTTATTAATCACATAAACTATTCTGCTGCGTTTCTGAAAAGTGTACAACCTTTCGTTGTCAAAGTTACAAAAAGCTCAATAAGAGACAATGTGGTTGCTGGCAATATACAGCGAAAAGAATGTACATTATTCAGATGTCCATTTAGTGAACTGCTAACATCTAACCGGCTATCACTCAATATTTATCGCCAGGACCGTCCAAGAAGAAAGAAACGGAAACTTGTTAAAATACTTTGCGCTGAGAATCCTATATTGTACAAAAAATATAATATTGAATAAAGCTGATAATAATAATAATAATAATAATAATAATGCATGCAGTTATCGGTTTGTTTTTTCTTTGTAAAAAATCTTGTTAAAATACTTTGTACCAAGAACTCTGTTTTGTACTAAACATATAATATTGAATAAAGCCATTAATGATAATACTAATTTGTAGATTAGCATGAGGATGCTGAATGTATCATATTCTTTCAGATGGATATTTTAGTACAGGTCAACAAAACAAACTGTTAGTAAATTATATAGAGACTTTAAAAGCTCACTCCTTTTTGAAGTATGTGTTGCTGATGTTGTTCAAAAGAAAAATGGAAGCTTCACAACTAAGCCATTGAGATTAGGGAACACAACACTACAAACACAAGATAATTTTGAAAAATAAAACAAACTTATCATATTACCGGATCCTAATGATAATAACTTAATGGCAAATTTCTCATCAAGTTTACAAAACGTGTATATTAATAAGATCAATTAATGAGTAGGAGCTGAAACAGTAATACAATACATCTTCCAAAATCAAGATAATATTGACTACAAATTCATGATAATCCAGATTTCAGTCTCTAAGATAGAATTCAACTGGTTTATTGATCAGATCTATTTGTTAAATCACTAAAATGTTCGTATACATTAGTGAGAGTTATTGGGATAACTAATCCGAAGAATTCATTCAGTATATTTGATATTATATTTAAAGTGATTCTAAATTAGCTGTAAATAATACCTATTTAACATTGGAAGGTCATCACAATGCGATTTACTTAATTAACGTATAATTTCCGAATATAGGAGCATCTAAGTTATGCTTTACAAAGCAGTGTGTAATATGTAAACAGTCATCTAGATTTATATAGTAACGAAGAATTTTAAAAAATCTTTCATTGTTGTTTTGAATGAGCAGTAATTAGAACGAACTTCTCATATTTCCAAATTGCAGTGCGGTATTTCTAATAATATTACTCAAATTCGCACTGCATAAAACGTCTTTTTTCAGGCAATAAGCAGTAATGTAGTGGACGCTACTCACAAGATTGTTTGTAAGTAGTGTGTGGCGGAACGTGGCGTCGAAGTTGCGATATTTGCTCAACGTAGTGAAAAGCTTAGGTACGTGATGAGGACGGTGTTAGCACAACACGTGGAGATCAGACGAGAAGGTTGTTCGAACTGTAGAACATAGCGAAGGATGCAAATGGCAGATTAAAGACTTTGTATTAGCATTATACAAAGACTCCGCAACTTCTTGCAATAAATGTAAACTCCTTCTGCTTATTGCCTGTATGAAAGTAATTCTCATAAAACATGCTTTATATAGGCGTTTGCTTATCATGTTGTTATATATTTTATCCACTGAATATTTTCTTTGATTGTTATAAAGACAGAAGAATATTTTTTTCTCCAGTATTTCAATTGAAATCATTTTGGTCAATGTCTAATAATAATAAATTACCTGAGATATAATTAGCTGGTGCAAATCCTTGTTGACCAGTAGTAACCAGTTTTGCCATCCACCATCTAGGAGTATCTTTGTACAATATTTTCAACTTATCGCCACGTTTGAAATTCAATTCATCTGACCTCTGAGCTTGATAATCATATAGCGCTGTGAAGACAGTTGTGGTACTCTCAGATGTTTGTGTCCTGATAGCAGCATTCTTCGCTGAATCCAATTTATTTACTGTACTTGGTAGATCAGAAACCTATTTATGAAGAAATAGTAAGAAAACTCAAAAATATTGATGACAGTATAAATGATGTAAGCGACTAGAAATGAGTGAAGTTTTGATAATTGTAATATCATATATGTGTGTCATTCTATCCTTAACTAAGGCGTTATGTCTACTAGTGCTTCTCACGAACTCTTATTAAAACAGGTCATACCAAAATATTATTTCGGTTTTATTGACATTTTAAAGAACACTATCAGATATAAATATTTTTTCGGAAGTAAACAACAATTAACACTTATACATACATAAATAAGATCCATTTATTCAGAGTTGCACTTATTGATTATCAAATAACAAATCTAAATACCGATGCTCGAAATTGAAGTCAGACTACGACACAGTTCATAGACTAATGAATAAGCTGTTCATGCTATCGTATAAAATTATACAAAAGTTGCATTTTGATACAATACTTTTATATTTAAGCTTTTAAAAGGTTAAAAACATCTCGAAGTTATATAAAGTAAAGGTCAAACAACTTTACTTGTGTATTTTAAAGAAACACTTATTGTAAAGTTTGGTAATAATGTGAATTGACTTTGTGAATTCTTGATTTGCAAAACACCTGTGTTTTTTTAACATTTAAGAGTATTCTGAAATATTATTATTATCTCGTGAGGCGGGATCGTGGATGCGCACTTCTGAGGAGTTCAACAATAGGATGAAATGGCCATCCAGTGCTTCCAGGTTTTCCATGGTGGTCTAGCTTTAGTTGACTCATGATCTCAACCGTTGATGTTCAGAATATAAAAGATTATACATTATAGGGAATATAGTGATTGATATAATAACTTTATTTTAGTAGTGAATTTGTTTCATATAGTCACTTATTAAATATTGGTAATTTGTTACTATACTTAAATGATAAGCATGTTCAAGATGAATTTTGTAGAAGCTTGATCAAAAGTTGTAGCATGTATAATTAACAAAATCTTTTCCAAATTATACCAAGTAGAAAACAATATTTGTTAGATTTTTTTGGGGTTATAACTTTGATTTGGGACTGTTTACACATACGTTTAAGTGAACTAATTTCAGTTTGCATGAACAAATGGACGAAAAAATATGATAACTTACCTCATCAATTACAGTAAATGTTGGTCTCCATTCCTGTGAGAACAAGAAAATAAATTAATATTTCTTAACAATATGGGGTGTGCTGGTCGGCGGTCTATGCTCCATTAGGAGTAACAGGCGTATAACATAACATAACAATATGGGGAAAGTAATCGTGAAGTGTTCACGTTTTTTTCGCTTGGTATTTTATTCTATCCGTAAATTCGTCTTTATACTGTTCTAAGGCTTATCAGAAATTTCACATGATCTGTCACTGCGTTGGACTTTTCATTACAATATATACATTTACTGATCATGAGGTGGTAACCAATACCATTTTTGTCTAGTTCAAAGTGCTGATCAAATCCTGACGGTCAAGTTACAATGTAGCCACCAATTTAAGTGAATCGACATCTCATGCACAATGGTTGGAAATCGTTGGACAGAAGCACTAGACTTAGGTTCTAAACCAGTTAGGACCTACCAACAAGACATATCTACAACTCTGAGGATGTTGATGCTTCATTCGGGATTCAGAAAGATGTCACTAAGCTTCACAGTTTGATGCGTTACAAGCGAGCTATTCCGACAGTGACTAACCTCTTTTAGGATATGTATCGATTCCTAAGTAGTAAGTAACCAATATCAAATTTGTCTAGTCCTTAGTCCTAATTGAATTCCATCAATCAAGTTGTTTCCAGCATTTTTAAACTGGAAAACACAAATATGGACACCATGTATTATATATGTTGTAAGCAATTACTTTAAATAATGCTAGGAAACCTAATTGATTTAGTACTATTAAATTTATCAGGACTGAGTTATAACTGGACAAGCCACAAGTAGTAATCAAGAAAGTGTCAATTATACTCAATTTCTTGATATCAAGTGTTAATAAGCTACGCCTTAAAGGAAACAATTAAGAAATCAACATACAGAATTTTAAAGTGAAGTTGTTTAATAAGGTCTACGTATGTAAGATAACAGATTTGAAGCATATTCGGTGACTGATAAATAAGGATTAAGTGATGCCAATACTTACTTTAATACAAACTTAAAGTATTTTAATATTCTATTTGTCTAAGGATTTCTTTAACATCTTGGCTCTTAACTTGGAATTGTATGGTGAATCATCTTTTTCATTTAAAAACGTATTTAGCTAAAAGGCAACTATGTTACTAAACTTGATAAATACAGATTATAATTAATAGATGGTGTATTTAAACATTGCAATTAATACCGACTTTTCTAAAGTAACAAAACCTCAGTTTTAAGAATTCAGTGTTTGTCATTGAAAGGAGTACCAAAGAAGTACATTAACCTTATTCAGACTCTCTACTCGAACACAACTGGTCGAGTGAGAGCTTATGGCGAACTGTCATCAGAATTGATTACCTCAAGTGGTGTTCGTCAGGGCTGTCCACTCTCTCCATTCTTGTTCAACTTTGTCGTCTACGTACTTTTAGAGATAACACTTTCCTCGTCTAGATTTCCAGGGGTTGAACTTCTACCGGGAGATTCACTTGTTGACTTAGAATATGCAGATGACATAGTTTTATTTGGTGAAGACGCTGACAAAATGCAGAGTCTTCTGACCACTCTAAGCAACAATGCAAGAATGTTCGGGATGCGATTCTCTCCCTCGAAATGCAAAATGTTGCTTCAGGATTGGGTTACATCCACACCCGAACTAGTGATAGGGAGTGAAGTAGTTGAGTGTGTCGACCGCCTCACTTATCTTGAAAGTCTCATCAGCCCTTGTGATCTGGTGTGTGACGAAATCTCAGTACGGATACAGATGGCTCGATTAGCTTTTACCAACTTGCGTCATTTATGGCGTAGGCGAGATATCCGTCTATCAACCAAAGGACGGGTTTACTGCGCAGCAGTTTTGTTCCGTCCTACTTTATGGCAGTGAAACATGGCCGGTAAGAGTAGAGGATATCCGTAGGTTACTAGTATTTCATCATAGGTGTCTTCGAAACATTGCTCGTATATCATGGGACCATCGAGTAAGTAATGCAGTTGTTAGGAAACGGGTACTAGGTAGGGATGACAAATCAATTGATGACGTAGCGAAACGTCATCAGTTGAGATGGATGGGACACGTGTTACGTATGCCCAACCACCGACTGCCTCGACATGCGATGTTCTGTGGGGTAGGAGTAGGTTGGAAGAAAGCTAGGGGCGGCCAAACCAAAACATGGCACAAGTCCATGAAGTCACTGACAAGTGGACTGAGTCATGTTGATAGGTGTAGACTACCTGGTTGGGGACTGCGAGATGATAGCAACCGATGGTTAGAGACCCTGAATGACATGGCTCAAAATCGTTTGCAATAGCGCAGGTGCATCCACTCTTTGTGTTCTCCCAAATTCTAATCTTCTGAATTCTTCATGTCCCTTTCTCTTTCCAAATTTATTTCACTGTATTATACTCCTTGAATAAAATCTTCAAGTCCTAATTTTTCTGATTACAGCTTATAATTTTACTACATCTAGCACTACGGGATTTGAATCGACCACTGCATCTCTGTGCTAATGTGGTCTGGCAACTCGAACTGATGTACGTACGTACGAAGTTCTATGTTGTTACCGACCGACTAACTGACTGAGTGCTAAATGATTAACTTTGAAGTGCAAGAATCCCATTCACAGTTGATGTATAGTGAATTAAGTATCATTCATAAGAAAGTCTGTTACGTTTCATGGAATGTCATAAGAACTAAATTATAGCAGAGTATATGATAGATATTTTATTTAGAAAGATGATAGCTCAAGTAACAAAATGCAACACATTCCTGTAGTTTAGTACAAGTTTACATACAAAGCTAAAACATATTACGTAAGGGTTTAAGGCACTGGTCAGTAAAGGACTGACACTTTACATCTAAGAGTTGAAACTTCAATCAGAGAGTTAACCAAGTTCAGGGGAAATAATAATTAATGAATGACATTAAATGATCATGTTATATTATAAATTGACCGCTAGATTTTAATACAATATTTCATAGTTATCGAGCACGCTGTGAGAAATGAAGGTGTTGAGTTCAATCTTATAATATGTTGGTATTTCTAAGGTGTTTTAAGCTTAGATGAAAGGTCATTCAATATGTTTTGATGTTCATTGGTTTTATAGCTGCTGTCACTTCTTTGTAAAAGTAACCTACAAACAATAGAAAATCTCAATAAAGCACCTACATTATTTTCTATTCACAATACATATAGATATATAACTGTTGTACTTACTAATTCATGTAAATTGTTTTGAGGATATTTTGTTAAGGGTTTGGAAACGTTCTATCAAAGAAAATATAAACAAAAAATAAACTATCAATCAGCGAAACAGTGCTCATGTTTAAATAAATCAAAATTATAATGTACTTTCAATGAAGTAGTCTGTTTCTAATTCAATGAAGCAAATCTAACTGCTGATATTTGTCACTATCAATTTGTTGGGTCCCTCAGTCTGTTACAAACAGTTTAGAAACGTGCAAAAATATGCAAGTTGTTACACTTTACATCAGAATACTATGAAGTAAAGTCAACAAGATCGGAAGTGCGTGAAACTAAATAGTATTACTCATGGTAGCAGTAAGCTAAACCGAGAAAATATGGTTCGAAAGTAATGTATAGAGTCATCAAATAAAAAGTGAGTTACAGTTTAAAAACCTACAATTTGTAGGGTAATCAAGAGTAATGTCGGTTACCTCAATCTCCACTTTTTGACACTGATCATTTGAACAATCAGTGGAATTAGTAGACTACTATCATGTTTTGTCTTTCAACCTCCCTTCAGCCTGCAACTGTAGTAACCAGCATTATACATAAGGGCAGGTAATAATTGGGAAGACAAAGCAGTCGTTTGGATTACTTTAGTTGATGCGAGTTCACAAAGTCATTGCTGATTCCGCCCAGTACTCTGTATTTTACCATAAAAATATTTGATAACTGGTTATGTCATACTGTATCAATGCTTTGAAGATACAACATTACGTAATAACAACTCGTGTATATAATCTGTCTTGAAAAGCGAAATTTCACAGCCATTAAGTCTTAGAACATGAACTTATTATCAGCACAATGACCTTATGGGACGAACATGGATACCGTGCCGGCATCATACGAAACTCAAGTTAGTGAATTACGGCTGATGAACTTTTATGTGCCGAAATTCCGTCAAAAAATTAGACGAAACTGGAGAGAAAACCATTTGTATCTTCTAATAATAGATAATGTTTAGCAATAATTTCAAATCTGTGTTTTAAATAATAAAAAATGCGTCTTCGGTGTGAATTAGTCCATAAAGATAATTTTTCTACCAACAAATATATAAATCAATTTAAAATCTATCCAAAATACAAAACTGAACGACGTATTAAAAGTTTCAGAACAATAAAACTAGTACGAACCATGGTAAATTAGCAACAAAATTTGACCCAGTATATTATGAAGTTAGCGTTTTTTTAGCGAGTTAGTTTTCTACGAGATGGGGTCGCTAACCCCATGCTAAACCCCCCTCCTTTATCCGGGTTTGGGGCTGGCAGTAGCCCCCGGAGGGACTCCAGGTGGAAATGGAGATAGACATGAGAAAAATGAACAAGAATTGGATGGAACTAGAAAAGAAGGCCCAGGACAGAGTGTGTTGGAGAATGCTGGTCGGCGGCCTATGCTCCATTGGGAGTAACAAGCGTAAGTAAGTAAGTAAGTGATATTATGGAGTATTCGAAAGTGAACAAACTACATTATAAATAAATAGTTCATTAAGAACGAACCTATCATCTTCAAATAAATAATAAGATGACTTGCAAGAATCTAATCATAGCATGGATTTCTAAATACAAACTCAATGATATACTAATGATAATTTGTAGATCATTTAAATATTTCAAGTGAATGTAAAGTTCGATTATCTGACAACAATATGAAATGATCATCTTTAATCCAATTGATCAATTCGAACTCAATAGTTTAATCATAAAGCTTTCAGGCTTTAATTTTCAGAAATACATCGGCTTAAAAATTAAAAGTAAACTACTTGAATATTTTCACAAATTTATGGAATTGTAGATTGGTGACTTAAAATTCCTCATCACAAGTAAACTTTTGTTAATGATTACATATATAATTTGATTGAGTGTATTGTTGGATAAAGTAGTAATAATGCTAATCTTAATTTAGGACCTTTCAGTAGTGCGGATATAGTTCGAGGAGAATAGCTTAAAGTTTTAGCAGATTTTGAGTGAAGCGATTATCCGTAGATATCATTGAATCATAATTAAACTATAAGACTGAGGTTGAAAAATGAGTATGATTAAATTTTAACGCTAAAATCGATAGATATTATACTCATAGAAAAACATTTAATCTACGGGCTCCATACAATAAGGGATAGTGATTACCTGGAACTAAGAATCCTTAAAGTAGTATAAACAGTAGTTCAATGCTTTCGTATATTCAATTGATAATAAAAAATCACATTTAGCTTGACTAAATCTTTGTTAATAAATGAGTTAAATGTTGTAAAACGTTTTCATAATAATAGTAAATATTATTCAATGAAAACTAACCAGAACACTTTCTAGCTTAGACATTGCAAGTAATACTCGTTCAACATCACGTTGTTTAAATTTGACATGAGATGCAAGAATATCAGGTGGTTGTTCAATGTAGCTAAACAATGTTAAGACAAATGAAAATCCGTTTTAGTTGATCGAATAAATTATACAAAATCATCGTCAAATTTACTCATTATTTTTCACTTGAACATAATTGTTAAACAAAGAGTCAGATAAAAAAATGTTTATGCAAACCAATTAGTTACGTGAAATTATAAATAATGAAGATTTAAACAGAAATTCCTTCAAAGATGATGTTATGTGGAGTAAACTGGCGTGACTATAATTTATGGACGAACCAATCACGTATAAGATAACAGGTCGCAGATTTTGGCGCGAAAGTCACTCATCCATTCGGATAGAGTTTTGGCATTATAGCTGACGTCATTTGGTGATGAAAACCTTAAATATAATTTCTGACCTTAATCATTGAATGTCGATCCTAATTCTAATTCCTCACACAGGTTTATAACCCTCATTTAGTTCTAATCATTAGGTGGACACTCTAAAGGTCAATCTAGCGTCGCTCAAAGGTTGTTCAAAAATTATAGTCTCACCTAAATTTCTCTTGCATAAATTTCAAATACGATAAATACTTTACCACATTTAAATCAAATGGGTTTTCCATTACAAATATCTAAAGCTTTGTTAAGGTGTAACAGATAAGAATTTGCATGGAAATGGAATTTTACCCATTACGAGTGCATTCACTTTTGAGAAACTCATACATTCTAATATGAAAATAAAGTGATTATAAACTGTGATAGTAAGAGAATAATGCTTCAGATTATTCAGAATTATCATTGGTTATAAAGTTTTTGCGCATCGACTATAATCAACTAAAGTAAATGAAACTTCATGAATTTTATTTGATAAAATATATACAAAAATAAACCATTTATACCTTCTATAGATATTATGTTATAGCAACCATCGTACAACCAACTTCGATCATGGTTAGTTTGGGTTAGGCCATTTTATTAAATTACTCAACACACAATGTTACTTGAACAGTAACAATTCGCATATTTCTTTGTACCGTTATGATCACTAGATCACATGACAAACTAACTAAAACGTTGGTTGCTTAAATATCACTCGATGATTTATTCTCCTCCCCATGAATGCATGTTTATTTATTTATTTAAACACATAAACATAGGTACAAGAAGGCACCAAATAAATATGCGCCACATAAATCACTCGATTTGTATGAGGGTAAGGATAGTGTCCGGGTGCCCAAAACGAAGCAGATGGTTTCCTTACGGGACCACACTCCGAGCATTCGACTTAAAGGTCTCATCCATAAGGATGTGAAGTAACATAAGGAGATGCAGTCCCATGGTAGTCGGTGACCAACAATTGGATCATACGCCATTTTCTCCCTTAAGATCCTGGAATCCATGTACACGATTGGTTTGGAATCAGGGTGGATCCTCCGTATCCACCAAGCCGGCTAAAGTGCCAACATTCGCTTTTCGTCCTCTCAATTTCGTAAACAACACACCCGCGGTGAGAAGACAGTGAGTAGGACTTCTCTGGCAGTGGTTGTATGCACGTGGCCATGTGAGAGCATTTTGAGAGGGTGAATTGACTCTCCCCACTCTCGGCTGTACTAGTGCATTTGGGGGGCATGTACATATGTACTCAAATCCTATTATTAGGGTTTGCTTTGCCTTGCTGTACACTTATGCAATTTGACCATGAATTTGCCTATGTAATTGCTCGCATATAAGTATTCGCCCTCTTGCTTCAAATTCTCTTGATGTGATTATTGCTTTGTGATCTCTATCCGGTAATAAACTGTAGTTGCCACTTCTCATTGCCTTTTGATTTTAAACACCGTTAAGATTTATATTATAATTTTTATTGAGGTGATCAATTAAAGAAGCAAAGCCACTACAATGTATAAGGGTGAAAAGTTGGTTTAATGTGATGAATCTGTGAATAAAAGTGTTCTTACTTCAATTCCTCTTCATAAAATGGCAGTTTTTCTTCATTTATTTTTTGAGATAATGTTGTCAACTGATTAGCTATTTGAACAGACAAAAGAAGCAAATGATAATAATAATTTGCGATACCACAGAATAAAATAACAGTGAAGATCATTAAAATCACGAAGCGATGTAAGTTAGACAACAGTTGAGAACCTAGAAAAGCGAAGACCATTTAAAATTTATAAAATAAGTATGATTTTTGTTTACATACGCTCATAGTTTCACAACCAATCACAAAAGAGGATCTCCTGATATAAAGATGAAGTGGTTTAAGTTGTTAAAAGCAGCAGGTAAGACAGACATAAACTAAGTTCTTGATCTATTTTTCATTCCTCAGTAACGCCTTTCTGTAGTTTTGATGGAAAAGACGCTTGATATGCAGTTCTATTCTATGTCACAGTTATAGTCGTTAATATTAACCGGAATGAGTCACAAAAAACCAGGAGGACAAAGATGTTAAAAAAATGAATCACTTTCCATAAAACTAAAGACATATCTTGCTGATCAGTGGCAACGTGTAAGAAACTAGTCTCTAGGTTGGGTACAAAAGACATCAAATACTTGGGATCAAATAAAGTGTACATCATCGTGGCCGCATTACATCTTGATTGACGGAATTTGGTTAGTCATCTGAATTAGATACTGAAACACTAGTCGTTATAAATTAACTAATTAGTGTGTGGATATATATATATATATATATATATATATATATATATATATATAATATGATTGTGCATATATAGTTAAAGGAGAATAATAATGAACACGTATTCCTCTGATCAAACAGTGAAACAAAAGATACTGTAAAAAGTAAATTAATGTAATTCCATTTATTTTTAAGATTTATGTCGATAATTGAAATGAAACTACATAATAATACTACGAACAGTGTGAGGTGACACACAAGAATGACTAAACCACAATTGCTCTACAATCTCTTTAAAAAGTTCCAGCTACAGACGTCACTGCACAGATACTTCAGGGATGACTAATTCCATGTATGATAATGAGAAAAAGCAAATATATACATCGGTATAAGATTGCGTGTTCAGCAAATGTTGATTTTCAAACATTAACATAAATTTATACGAATATTCATCAAGATTAGAACGAATAGTTTGACAGTAATTGAGCGCCGAGTATAGAGAAGTCATTATATGTGAAAATTATATTTGAAATATTCTCAGCGATTGAAATTTAACTAATTCCAACGTTTCGTCCAGCTAACTTGTCTGGACTTCTTCAGGGTAATAATCAAAATCAAAACTATTTTTGATTTTGATTATTACCCTGAAGAAGTCCAGACAAGTTAGCTGGACGAAACGTTGGAATTAGTTAAATTTCAATCGCTGAGAATATTTCAAATATAATTTTCACATATAATTAACATAAATTTGTTTACTTAGAATGGTAATTAGGATCTCAGTAAACGTCTTGTATACGATATTTAATTATCATTTTTTAAGTTGTATAAGGATTTAACTTCATTTTTAAATGACTGACACTTTCTACCTTTATACTACTCATTTTGTTTGATATTTTAGCCATCAAAAAGAGAAGAAAAACATCCTCTTTCCGAGATATTTTTACTTTAAAATTAATGTCTGTTAATTAGTTCTCACAGGTAAACCTATTTTACAATCGTTACTGAAGAAAGTAATATTTGAGACAAGGAGACAAGAGCATTTAGGATAGTGGAAAAAGTTGGATCATATTATGAAGGAATCTGAGGGGAGAAAAATTCAAAATTGTTGCAAATCGATTACAGAGCACTAAGCATTGCATGGATTTGTTCGTTGTTAACTCTCAAGATTTAAATGCAATATGAATAGGATTTATTAGGACACAAACTTGCTAGATGTTGACTTGTGGTAAACCGAAAAAGAAACATTTCTGGACATTGATCATTAAAACACAACCAATACATTAGGGGAGATTGTCAGTTATGTGATTCATAAGGCTTTAATTCAATGTTGCTCTTTTTCTATTTTGTATATTACCAAGCTAAGTTAGTACGCTTTTCTCGTGTTTCATGTCGAACTGTTCTGCAAGCAGTGAAATAAATAAGCGATCTTTATTCCACTAATTACATTTTATACTTACCTTTAATATTGTATGCGTATATAGCAATTGGTGAGTCTGGTCCAACAGCGGCGAAAGCTATCACATTATCCATAGGATGATAACTTATTGAGGTAACAGATCCTGGCAATTGTAAATTCTGATAACATGCAACTTGATCACCTAAAAAATGAATTTGTGTATTATAATCGGATGGTGCTAAAATAATCTTACCTACATTGTATACGAAGTATACACTAATTGGTCAGTGATTAGCAAACAATATCGTGTTTATCTAGTTCTCAGTGTTTGTTTATGGAAGCCTACCGAACAGATTACAATGTGATCATTAGTTCAACCGACTTAAATTGCCTGCTTTTGATGTAAATAACTTAGTGCTATAGAAGGTCAGTGTGGAACTAGGAGTTCAGTTGCACTTATTCATATCTGATGGAATTACATGAGGAGCAGATATCCCTTTTAGGATTACAGATACACCTTGCTGAAGTCAAAGGAAAAAAGGAAGACCAAGGAACACATTGAGCCAGTTATCGGTAGCAGACATCAAAAGACTGAACAACAATTTGAAACACCTGGAAAGGATTTGCTCAGGAAAGAGTCCGATGGAGAATGCTTGGGAGCAGCTTATGCTCCTTTACGAGGGGTAACAGGCATAAGTAAATAAATAACATTATACCTGTGGTACAGACTGAAGAAAGTTGTTTAGATGAAACAATGCACAAATGATCAGTTAAATTATAATTATGGTCAATTACATGAATACTGTATATGGATTTTCCATGTTTATTTACATTGTATTCTTTGTATGTTGCTCGTATACGCTTCTTTGTTTAGTAAACGTTGATTTTTCTGAACTTATCTATGGTTCATCATACTGTTTGGATGTCTAAGCTTTGATATTTTTACTTCAAAAAAGAGATTATAGTTTTCGGCACAAACTGTTTTTAATTAGAGAGTTATTAAAAATTTTTTTATTGTATCCTAGCATTATGATCTAAATATGTCGTGCCAACTTCAGCAAGTTTGTAGGTTTGAGGTTCGACTAAATTTAGGGTAAGTACGTATTGCTAAGCAACCGTAAATTCAAATAAACCAGGTACTCAATGTTCCAGGACTCAGTCAGGTAGTCAAACTAATCCCATTTAGTATCGTACACCATCTACCAAACACTTTTTTGTCTAATGAGAAAAAAATTTGATTGAAATTATTCAAAGATATGAGAACTGGTGGGTCCTACTTTTTTCATATTAAAAAAGAGCATCTAAGAGATATATTTCACTTACTTGCCTATCTATTTAGAATTAACAATAAATTGATGCGACAATTACTTTGATTATATTTACTTGCAATTCAGAAATAGATTTTATTAGGAGTACTTTCCAAGCATAAAATTTCAACTTTGTTGAAATTTAAGCACGATTTACAGATATCACCAGTTTTAATGTTGTATAACCAAAATTACATTCTAATTCATGAAGTTAAAGGATTTAATGGCTCATTATTAAATCACAAGACAACCATTGAATAATCATTTGAGGATTCAAAAAATGTAGCATATCACTAAGACTGGCGAATAATTGAATATTTTGGAAACGTGCTATTAAACACATCAAAATAATGTGAAGAGCCTAAACTACTATAATTATCCACAGTATAATATGTTATCTATGTTGCTGGGTAGATATAAGGTTGGTTAACAATAAGACTAAGTTCTGGGTTTAATGATTTTTTGTCAATGAACCTGTAAATTTATCAAACTAGAAAAGCAAGTGTGATGATATTATTTTGATTTCTATTTATATGCTTGAAAGTTCCTACCAATATAATCTAATATTTTGTCTAATAAAAAAAACTAGAAAGGTTCAAAACGAGATCTTATGCTTTTTGCCAGAAACTATCCGTAAAATCATTAAAGAGAAGCTCAACGTTTTATTATTAATCATTCTAACTACAATCTAAATCCTTCCAATCTAGCAAAAAGTTTAAAATGTAATTGTAAAAATTTGAAATATTATACAGTATGGTGAGATAATAGCTCGATTACACAAGTTCATAACCGCTTGATAGTAAGCTATAGTGTTAGATTCAGAGATATGTGACGAAGGTGAAATAAGAATAAACAAACCATATGCTGAACAATAATTCACTGAACACAGTTTAACTAAAGAAACAGGATGAACGCAATTTGTACTATTTATTGGATGCCTTAAAAAAATACTAGGATATCTATATGTAGTCAATATTTATAAGGTTGTCAAAATTATTTCAATATAATGAAAGTAAATAATCAGTTGTTTACTTCTAACCTGTATTGACATTCCACACATAAACATTTTGATCTTCGGAACCAGAAAATAAGAATGAACCACATGGTGAAATACAACTACGTAATAATTCAGTATTATTCAATGCTCCATGAAATCGTGTTGTGATAAAATTTCTAGAAAAAAAAAGTTTAATAGGTGAATTCATGAGTAAATTGAAGCTAGACTACCATGGAAAACTTGGAAGCACTAGACGATCATTGTGTCCTATTGTGGGAATCCTCATCAGTGTGCGTGCACGATCCCGCCCCGGGTGCGAGCGTCGAACCACTAGACAACTGAGCGGGCATCCACCGGTGTTAATGTTTAACTTCAACCAATCCACGGGATTTGAGTCACCGTCCACCATTGTTATCAGTGAGTTACTATCTCACAACAGATCCGGTTGGACCCCATTAGTCATGACTTCTCACTAGAACTCTGGGAAATTCTTCTTGAAGACCTTCATTAGTGAGCATATGATGATTATAATCAGAGAAGGGATTTTGTGGATATTATAGTAATTAAGTAGTTGAATTCATGAGTCAGTTGAAGCTAGACAAAACAGCCGTCCAGTGCTTCCAGGTTTTACATGGTGTTCTAGCTTCAATTGACCCATCAATTCAGCTATTAAATTACTATAATAACCACAAAAACCCTTCTCTGAAAATAAATAAATGTTAATTTAAAAAAAAATCGAATAAAAATTAATACAAAGTATAAAAATGTTGTTATAACTTGTAAACCTGTGACGCATAAAACACGTGCGATCAGCCTAGAGTCCCGATTGGTCTCGCTTCCTGTCTAGCCCAGCCAGTTAAGTCCAGAACACCAATCTCAGCTTCCTCAATGTGAATCACTTATTCCAAACATACTCGGTTTATATATCAACCAGACAGACCACAACGTACCATAAAATATGAAACAACATTTGTACGAGATTTAGCCAAATGTAGCTGTGAATGAGGGAGATAGTAATCAATAGACAGAGTATAACTCAAGAACGGTAAATCGTATAATAATAGTCTATGGGTCAAATCAAAGCTTATAATAAGAGCGACATGAATATGAGCAGTTTAGTTACATAACAATTACACGATAAAAATATACTCCTAGTAATGGCCCATAAATGGATCCCAAGAAATACCGCTCATTATTCTTATCAGGATATAGCAAATGTTTTTTTTAATTTCGTTTAATTTAAACTATATTCTCAAGGTCATAAGAAAGTCAATTTAAGAACGTTATCTCTAACAGTGGGTTAATTCTTACAGCAGTACAATTAGTTATAAGTAATTATTAATGAGAGGAATGTATAGAATGTAGGAAGTAATAAATTCTTACATGTAAACAAATCATTTACGTATATTGGTATAGAAAATTTCAAGTGTATTAAAAGTCCTTAGGTAGTGAGACAGTAATCACAAAAACAGAAATACTTAAACAAACAAAGAAGGTTTGTGTATGTTGTTTAGTTTGTCGATTACAAAGCAGATTAACTTTAGCTAGATAATTATTAAAACTAGTGGGCACTTGAAACTTTGTCTCGTTTTGGGATAGAAATTTAAAACTGTGCATATATATAAGTTTGTTAGGAAATGAATCCAGAACGTTCAGGTGTTACAGCAAGCTCCTTACCTTTAGACTACAGAATAAAATACCCAATGAGACATATTTCAAAGTTTATTCAGTTTTTGAAACAGTACAACACTCTCTAATGAGAGTAGTTAGACCTGTCTCACTCGAGATGTAGTTAAACTCTACTGGTCTCAGATTTTTAGTAGAATTTCAGGAATTCTTGTCAATTTTGTGGTCAACCGTGTAACCTGTTTCTATAAAATCTTTAGTTGTGTTGTAATATTACCTAACAGAAATGTTCCATCAAATAATCTTTTCGGCACTAATAATCCTTTGGTTGGCGATATAATTTATAATCCTTTATTTTCAGGCCAGTCATTTTAAATTATACATAAATATATAGTCAGAAGCAATGACCAGTGAAGTTTAACCGGGTCTGTTGTGAGATAGAAACTCACTGAAGGCAATGGTGGATGTGTCGCTCGATTTCGTGGATTGGCTGAAGTTAAACATTAATACCGTTGGATGCCGGCTCTGTGGTCTAAAGGTTAAGCGTTCACACGCGAGACCGACGTGTTCTGGGTTAGAATCTCGCGAGGCGGGATCGTGGATGCGCATTTATGAGGAGTCCCACAATAGGACAAAACGACCATCTAGTGCTTCCAGGTTTTTCATGATGGTGTAGCTTCAATTGACTCATCATTCTGTTATAAATTAGTATTTTTGACTTAATACTTGATTATAACTGTTGTACTATTTTGAAATTAATAAGTCTTGTTTATCGACGACAGTGTAAAAATGTATATTGAGTATTCGATGATCAACACCTTTATCGATTAATGCGTTGTACACCGTTATTTACTTAATATCAGTCTAAAACATTCTAAAAAGTAATGAGTGTATTTAAAAAAACCAAACTAAATTATTGGAAAAACCCAACAAAATGTTAGCATTCTATGCTCCGTATCCAAGTAGTTTAAATGTTAGAAATAGTTTGATTTTTATACTTAAATAACTTACGATCTTAAATCAAGCATTTTTGGACAGTTATCCCTTGTGTGTACGAGTAAGAGATTGAGTGTAGGATGAAACTCTAAATGGTTGATTATACACATCTATAAACATTGAAATAAAAGATTTTAGATTATAAAATGGAAAGAAACTTATGTGATAAAATATTTAAAAAAAAGATAAATATTTAATCTGACAGTTGAATTTATGAGTCAATTAAAGCTAGACCATCATGGAAAATTTGGAAGCGATGGACGGCCATTTCGTTCTAGTGTGGGACTCCCCAGCAGTGCGAATCCACGATCTTGCCTCGCAAGATTAGAACCCAGGACCTATCGGTGGATTCGCACTGCTGAGTCCTATACTAGGACGAGACGACCGTCTATTGCTTCCAGGTTTTCCATGGCGGTCTAGCTATAATTGACTCATAAATTCAACTATTAAATTACTAAAATCTCCACAAAACCTCCTTCTGATAAAAGTATTTAATCGTCATTGCAACATTAAATTTTTATTGATTACTTTCATTTATTGAAAGTTCAACAAATTCCGCTCTCCTATCCGGTGGAGTTTGAGAATTCCAATTCACTTACATTAGAACATTAGAACTCAAAAAGGAATGTTTTTATTTTTAAAAAGTTGTTCTACACCTTTGCCACTTTATCACTTTGATAAACCAAGAGAACTATCAAAACAAAACAAAAAATTATTGAAAATGTAATCGAGATTGAATTACAACAATTTGCTTTTACCTAATTTTTTTAATTATCTATACGAATTTCTTTCAGGTTGATCAGTAGGGGGATTTTATTGAAGTGAATAGATTGAACAGAAAGACTATTATGATGCTTTAAGTTTAATGACAAATGCTTATCATTGAGATGGTATTATATTAAAACACTGCAAAATTAAATGATTTAAAGTACGAAATTATAAACAATTTCATTTAAGATAACTTGGTGTTGTTTTATTTGTATCTTCCAGTTGTTATGTAGGACTGCAATTGATCAGTCTCATGTTGGCAAAAATAACAATGGGAAGATACAAGTAAAACAATAATAAGTGAATTTACACTTCACCCCATTGTACAAGCAGGTGGCTATCAGAACTCAGTAGTTAAATGGATAACACGATAGCGTTTGAAGCAAACGGTACTGGGTTCGAGTCTCGGCGTGAACATCAGCTCTGCGATGCAGAGTAATTCACTAACGTAAACGATCTGTTTACAAAAAGCACTTTAATTAGTCATATTTAAGTTGAAAATTAGTATTTTAATATAAAATATTCCACTTTTGAAGCCCCAGAGGGGCTCCTGGCGGAGTTGTTAATGGATTAAAATTAATCATAATATATTGCATTAACTTGTATTGGATGGATTAAGTTACATCTGTGAAACGAAATTTTACTTTGTCACCAATATCTTTATTTACAAAGTAGGTTTTGTTTAACAGATGAATATTCTTGTTTGAAAGCTTCAACCTCTCTTTCTCGTAAAATCACCAACGGAATGTATACAGTATTGTACAATAGCATTGCAAGTTTTGATGAACAGACATTCAAATCTAAAGCATTTTAAAAGGGTTATTAATGATTGGTGCACTTGAGTTTCGACGGCTGGTGTTAGACAGATGGTCATAAAGACACTTTAATATTCTCTTAAACTTGAATACACTGTCCATCCATTGAAAGATTAAAGTCGCCTTTCTTTCAATGGGAGTTACCAATAATTTTCTTAAGCATGGATTTTTAAGCAGTCAAAATTACAATATTTACTACAGAGCTTAGTGATGAAGTAATTATTATTAATATGTTTGTATAAATAAATTGCCTTAATACAATTTAACAATCATCCGACTAGTAGTAGTTTTTAGTGTCCCCCTATCTGACTCCATACCAGAAGACTGCGTGTTCGAACTGCGTCGGGCTCACCGCTTTAAGTATGGCCCTTTATTTGGGTCCGGTTAGATCGTATACTGATCCTACTCGTCTCTCTGTGTTTCGTAATGGCAAGAACTTAGCAGACTGCTGGTAAGTCAACCGATGGTCATGCACCTCGAAAGCAGCTGGCCACTAAGGCTGCTCGGAAAAGCGCCCCGGCTACCGGGGACGTGAAGAAGCTTCATAGACAGAGACTTGGGACTATTGCCCTCCGAGAAATTCGTCGTTACCAAAAGAGTACTGAGCTTTTGAATCTTAAGCTTCTTTTCCAGCGTTTATTTCAAGAAATCTCTCAAGACCTCAAGACCAAACTACAATTCCTGAGCTCCGCCGTGTCTGCTCTTCAGGAAGCTAGCGAAACACACTTGGTTGGACTGTTTGGGAATACCAACTTATGCATTATCCACGCTGACAGTGTCACTATTATGTAAGAAGATAGCAATCATTCGTACGATCCAAATGAACTCAGAAAAGCGGCTACTAAAGATTGTTAACATTTCTGCGAATTCAAAATGCATGGGGAAGTAGATTTAAATAGGAAATTGATTCATCTATACAGTTAGTTCATTATATATATATATATAGTCAGATAAACAGATTGATTGATTGATAGATTTTACATTAATTTACTCACATCTAGTTCTCGAACTTCAATTTTTTTCTCAAACATCCATTTGGGCTGACATTTAACTTGTTTTCGTTGTTGGTTTTCTGTTTCTTTCCAGATGACAATCAGACCTAAAGCATCACCTGAGTATATGCATGATCCATCTGTATCAAATGTTAAACTATTTATATGTGATTGGTGTACTCCATTCAATTCTTGTAGTAACTTATTAATAAAACAAATAAAAAAGTACACATTGAATTAAATAATTTAAAATAATGAACTGAAATTTTAAGTGACAAATGGAGTAGTTACAAAAAAAACACACGGGATATTGTTACTTCTGAATTAGAGAAGGGGAAGATCTGACTAAAGTTAGCTCTGTTAGGAAATCTCTTAGTATTTATTGTTTTTGGTGTAATTCTAGTCAGACTAATTCACATTTCAACATAGAATTAAAAAATTCCAATATATTCAATCCATTACCCGTATTGAAAATCTTAGTTTATCATCGGAAAAAAACATTTATTTCACATTTTAGAGATCATATTTCTTAATAAAGCCAGTGCTGACGAAGTTATTTAGCGTAGTGAATGAATGTTAGTGAAGAAAAATTGAGTTTTAACAAACAACAATTCATCGTAACATTTCACTTCTATGGACTTGAGGTACAGAAATACAGATAACTAAAGAAACTAGGTCAAATTATTTTTATAGTTTAAATCAAAAACCTACTTTAGTTAGACTACCATCGGGCCCTGGACAGATGTTTCTTCCTAGTATGAGACTCCTCAGAAGTAAATATCCAAAACCCTGCAACTATGAATGGAACCCAGAACCATCAACCTCGCATTCAAATACTTAATCTCTAAACCATTGACCTGAAATCTAATGATAGACAATCTGAGTTCAGTTAATTCACGATATTGTGCAGCCTTCTTCCATTGACTGAATTAGATAACTATCACAACCCGATATGGTTGAGTATAATAAATTTATTTCTCTTACTTTTGTAAATCCAAAGTAGGAATGCTTTCCAAAAACAATAATCAACAAAATTATAGATTTAGCACACAAAAAACTGTAGTGTTGATACTTTAAATTTATTGTATTTTGAAACCTAATGAGGAAATCATAGAACTCTGAAAGACTTCTTCATCGATAGAATCCATTAGTAAGCTGATCATATGGCTTTAGAATTTTCATATGATATGCCCCATGGAGACATAACACTACTATAGACTGTAAAATTCTACTGATATTTTATAAAAATATTGGTCATTGAGTAGATCTAACAAAAAATCTATGCAATTCATAACCTATATTACGGAGTTTAGTTCATTAGAATCAATGTAACAGACTATATAGTTAGGCCCTCAGTTTAACGAATAAGTTTTTTACTTATCAAAAATATTCTCTCAACAAGTTATCTTTCGTTTCTATTCGTTTTAAGTTGACTTGAACTGTGACAGAAACAATCGGACTGTATAGAAAAGATGATAAATAGTAATCAGATGGATATTTTTTTATTTCTGTCACACACGGAATCAGGATTCTGTGATAAAAATAAAATGAGAACCTAATTAACAACTGGATTTTGTTACTAAGTAAATAAAACCACTGATTTCAATTTTGTCACAACAACAGTTTTCTTCTAATTAACTGCCATCTTTAAATATGAACACGGATTTTAACTGCTGAAAAGTCGACAGTATATACATTCACTGATAAGACAAATCTTTTTTGGAAAGTTAATGAAAACTTATGATATAATATAGTAATTATTGCTGTAAAATCGTTTAGTTAATGACTTGGATTCTGTATTATTCCCATACTCAATCATCTGAAAAAAAACTTTCAAATCATAAAAGAACGCAGTTAAATAACAGAAAAATATAAAAATGAATACTTGAGTTTCGTTGTGTTTGATACTCCATAAACGAATAACACGATCATAACATGCTGTTGCAAGTAGATGATCTCGATTTACCAAAGTTTGAAGAACTCGAAAATCATTCAAAGCTAATTCTTTAGATATCGGTTTAAATGCTACGCTATACACAAAATTCGGATGACCAAGCACATTACATAAAATACCTTTCTTGTGAGATGATCCGTTAATGATTTGACCAACTTGAAATGGAGATTTTGATGTATCAGATGGAACAGGTATATTAGTATTAGGATCATTGGTAAAATTTTCATACACTTGATTAAATTGCAATCTCCATACTCTTACAGTCCCATCAGCTGAACCGGATGCTAGAATCCAAAATATTTTTGTATTAGAAAAATCTTTACTGGAATATTTTTGAGTAGATTTATTCTTATGGTTTTGGATCACAGGAGTTTTAGCCCAGTCTACAGAATAGATTATATCTGAATGTCCTGCTAACTCTAAATTTGGCTGGCTACGTTTGTTATCGAATGGAAACTATTTTTTAACAAGAAAAAAGAAATATGCAGTTGTAAGAAAATTAAAAATGAAGCTGACTAACTGGGGAAGAAACAGTTCACGAACATAAAAAGTTTGACAAAAATTGTATTACAAAATGAAGACATATACCAGTTACGGAGGTTATCAGGTTTTATATAAGCCAATTTGTATAAGCCAGTTACCTAGACGCGTCTTTTATATTGACTTTTTTCATATATAGTTACTAAACATTTTCTGTAAAGTGAAATGTCTTTTATGTATATTATGAAATTAATAATAGTTGGAAAAAATTGCATAAATAAGAGAGAAATTACGGTGGTAAAGTTATTCAGGGTCCTATTCTCTTCTTGCTTTAAATTTTCTACTTTAGAAACGATGAGGTTCCAGAAGAGAAAGAATGACTAATTGAATTTGTCATAGAATTAACTGACAATGCACATACCATTTTCCAAAAAAGCAATCATAAAATTAAAACCTATAAGATGAATTCTTGCGTCTTACCTCACACTAACTAACAACTGACACCAAAGTTTCTTGAATTTTATATTTTTTATCACACAAATGAACATCGCATCGACCTATTATTAGATCGTCCTGCTTTTGTAAAATTAAATGATTAATTAAGATCGTATTTTAATATGGATATTTTATTCTGTTAAAGACTGGTTATTTCAGTGCAATGAATATTGTTGTTAAGATAATCATTTATCGAGGATTTATAGGTTATGGCAGATGTTTACGTTTTTAATCTCCTGCTAAGCCTATAGGTTCCATATTACATTGTATGTTTTATTTCTCAAACTTATGCTTTTTTTTAACCTTATCCTCTAGTTTTTATTCTTGCTGGTTATCACATCCAATGCTTTTGGAAAGTGTACTGGTTTAAAATGTTTAACAATTTGCAGTATTTTACTACAAAAATTAATTAATTATCAAAAAAGCTTTAATTGACAATTCAGTTATGTGCTATAATGAATAGCTGACCTTATAAATTAGAACAGAACAGTCCATTTTATTTGTTTTATTTTTCGTAGGAGTTCCAGTTGTATTATTCAGCAGTAAATTTCGTATAACTCCAACCGCTAACCATTTACCATCTGGTGAAAATGCCAAACACTGAGCTCCAGAAGATTTTGTCGTCGTACAATATTTTTTATTTGTTTCCATATCTAATGAAAACTCGAAATTATCATCTGTATTTATACATGTTGTTACCCCATAGCCAACAAGTATGTTTGGAATACGACATGGTTGATGAGATTTTCTAGTCCAAGACTTCTGTAGTTCACTTGGTTTACTTTCACTCATAGCATTCAAAGCATTACTTTCATTCTCCAGTAAAATGTTATGTTGGGCTGACTCACTTGTGTTTATATTGGGTTGCACAGAGATTTCTGACTGTTTTGTTTGAAAGAAAATGTTTTGATTTGAGTCCTGTCCAAAAGTTATGCACACATAGATACATTAACATAATATTTATTGAATGTTACTCAAAGTTTGGTTTACAAATTTGTTTATTAAAAATAATTCTGATGAACTACCGCCTTTCGAAACAAAAACTTAGGATAGGCATACTCATTAGTTTACATTTTAGTAGATTTACTGGTGAATACAAAACTATTAAATTTGAACGATAAGAATGAAACCACTACTGGCAACAATAAATAATCCATTTCGCTGCACGTTAGAGGATGATATTTATTCATGAACGTATTAAATAGACTGTTTATTTCACAGTTAACGGTGTATTTAGTTAATTTAGATACTTTTAACAAGTCAACGCAAATTCAGGTGAATCTAACTTTACAAGAGGTGTTTTGTGATATTCATTCACCATTATGATACTACTACGTTTTTAAACATCTTATTGACTGTAAATTTGGAATTTAGATGGTTCATATGTTAGCAAACATTCGTGAATCTAATTTATAGAGTTTGCAAGCTCCTTGTATATAGTTAACCGTACAGTTAATAACCTTCATTTTCTCATTTCTTCATGCTGTATAATTCATCACCTCAGTACCTGTCTGTATTAATGTGGCTTACATATGCTAGTGATAAACAACCTACTAATTAACAAAAACATACACTAGCTCACGTTGCTACGCTCTCGATGAGTATGGCAAGAAGAACCAACTGGGAGACAAAATCACATTCAAACGTTCATATTTTACAATTTGAATATTTAAGTTATTACTTCCCAATAACCATGAATTACGATATTAAGATTGTCATACTCTTGAAAGCTAAGGACATTTTATTGAATCATACCATTTTGTTGTCCGAATGCCCTTCTAAAAACTTTTTTATAACGGTTTCCTTGACGGTTATATAAAGTGATGAAGGGTAAGGTACTCTATATCGACTTCCAGATTTCCAACATGATAGCAAATGATAGCCTGACTCAACTGCATTGTCTTCCAATAAATTGGAGCTGGCGTTTGCTAGCAGTTGATGCTTTTGCAAAATACTTAAACTTGACATTTTCCCAACTGTCAAGTTTCCCACTTTTTCTAGGGGATAAGTGGATGTTTTAATAATAGGCTCATAAAGCTGTAATCGTTGCTTCCTAGGACCAGTATTTAATTGACCATTGGAATTCGTCAGCAAAAGGAATGCCCACGCAGTCATAAGGGAGCCAATATTTTGCCCACTAGATGTTTTGACGTTGTCACTGTTACTTCTTCCAAATATATTTCCAATTGAATCAAGAATCTAAGAATTTACAAAAAATGGTTAAAAACAAGATCTGAAAATACTTTGACAGTTAGAAACATAAATTCCAAAATAGATTATTTATTAATTTCGCTTCCGATGAATTATACTTTACCACACCCAATGACAAAACTGAGAACTGGGTTTTGAAGTGCTTACTTATTGTGAATATCACAATGTTTATAAGCCACATCGGTATAGGTATGTTTTTAAGAACGATAGCGACTAAATAACCATGAGCGTTTGAACAAATATGTATCTATATATTGATTATCGCCCAGAAATCTACTCCCAAAATCATAAAAACATTATTTTTAATTTTCTGTTTCGCGAACAATAGATTTGCATCTGTATTCCTGACTACTGTATTACGTCTTTCTAATATTTACTGAAATTCCAGTTCATCTATATGGTTAGCAAATCGTCTGAAACAGTTTTCTACATAAGGCGAATAAGAGCAAATAAGAGCATGTGTGCGCTTTGATGACAGGAAACAACAATTTAAGTTTTTAAAGCAATTAGTTTTGAAGAATGGCTGCTTATTATGATTTTATTATGTGGTAGTTCACATAGATTAATTACCTAGTCTCATAAATCAAATTTCCTATCTTAGGATAGCCAGTAGTTTTCTTCTGGTTTTTGAATGAACTAATGATTCCTTTGTACTTGTTGAATTCTTGATTTCGAATTCCAAATAAAGTACATTCGTTTGTGGCTATCTGGTACTTCTTGATCCGATTACCTTATTTCTGGGATTTTTAGTTCATACTATAATTCAAATACCTATAAATATCACATTTCCTCATACTTTTAAGTAAAAGCATTATTTTTAATAACTTAAAGGTAGTATTATATGAAATTTTATGAGACAAAAATTTGAATAAATAAAAAATAAACAATTATTTTCATAATAAGTCAAGGAATAATAAAAGCTGTTATTGTTATTTTTGGAATGTTTTGAAATATGCTTTCGGACACTAAAAATTATTGCTAAAATTACCTCAAAAAACAAAATAACATTTTTGTTATTGGCAAAAGTGCGAAAATTTTCGTTGATAATGATTATTTCATCCCAAACAGGCATAAGTAAATCTTGATATTTTGTATTGACCAGCTTTGTTTTGACCGGCAGTACGTAAGTCGACTGTTCTACCATAGACCCAGAGATTCTATTGCGTTAGCATAAAAACGTATGTATTTTACTTTTTGTCACATTTTATATAGTCTTCTGTTTCAGTATCCATAATGTGAACACGAACAAATAAATGACATGTTGAGGAAGCCACTTTGAGCCGATCAGTTCTATAAATAATAATTTCAAGGATTCCATCTTGGCTACCAATCCCTTCATTTGTTTCAATACTCTTTTCACAAGAAGCTAAATTAAATTTATGGAAATAGCTGTCAAACTTATGTACTTGCTTTTGGACTATCAGGCTGCTTTTCATTAAACTTTCTCCTTGTAGCCTTTTTGGCACTATGGCGTGAATGATAACTTTTATGTTAGAAAGCTTTTATTTCAAGGAAACCCACTGTGAACTATTCTCCATTTCTTCCATTTCAAACGATTCATTTTTTATCCCGGACTAGTGAATACAAGTGACCGTTGAAGCACAACTTACTTTTTGTTTTGGCATTTCCTCTTGAATCCTTATGATTTCAGATACGAATTAACATGTCTCCCACGATTTTGTTACACTAGTAACGTGATTCAAAAAATTACCTGCAGATATGTATACTTTTAGAAATTTTAAACAACATTTGTTTTCTTTTTTTCATATCGATAATAATCTAGTAGTAGTGATCGATTATTTTAATTTCAATTTATTGAAGTAGAGTACGGTGTTGTGGGGTTATATTTCAGTTTATAGGGGTTGTTTAATTCGGGATGCTCATCGCAGACAGTCTTTAATTTTAAGGACTAGCTCAGCCGGCAGCGAACCTCATAGATATCGTAGTCATATCCTGAAAAGAGAGGTGTAGGATGCTGCTTTCGCTGTAGATAGCCAGTTTCTTGTTCATAATATCATTTATCTCGTATCATTCGATTTCACTGCACTTCCGCCACTACTGAATTCTTCCTTGTTTATCTTCTGAGTGTGGTTCTCGAAGAATTCCAAAAGACTAATCGCTTAGTCCTGCCGCATCAAAAACATTTCTGATATTGACCGCACTACTTGTCTTTGTAATGGTAAGGCTATGAGTGCGTTTGTTTTCTAACTTTGAATGCTCTTAGTATGCCTAGATTGTTCTTACACACCCATTTTTAGCATCGTATGACTGAAAATATAAACATAGTTATAGTATGATGAGGTAAATTGAGGAAATCATGGTGCATCAGATCGATTGCTTTAGTCTTACCAGGCTCAAGAAGCGTTACCGCAAAAACTGATTGATATATATGGCAAGAGGGGATGCAGTGTGATGAATGCCATAAGTGGTTCCACAAAATGTGGACCCGCTTAAGTCCCACCGCATACAAAAGATGCTCGAAGCCTAACTCACATTGGCTTTGCATGTTTTGCTGTGCCAACAAGGCAATACTAATACAGGAGGCTATGAGCCTGTTGGCTTTGGCCTGTAAAAAGAAGGATGGCATATGCGCCGACAACACGGGCACTGACAGCGACGAATGTGTCAGTGTAGTACCTGCTGTTACGCGACGTCTCAAGCAACTGACTCTGACTGACGTAAAAGTGGAATCTTCGTTGACATTAACAGGGGCAGTAGTACCACCTGGTACTGACATTGTTAATAATGCACCCTTAATGGGAACCGAAGATCTGGATAAAACAGTCACCGTTCCAAATAGTCCCAGTGTTATGAGGGATGAAAAATGGACTACGGTACGTAGGAAACGAAACGAAAAGAAAAAAGCTGTAAGCAGTACACAGGTAGTTAGTAACTCACTGGTGGACCCAAATTGTGAGCCACAAATTGCACTACCAAAATCTGAAGGTAAGAGTGAAACTCATCCTGGCGTGACTGAGAAGAAAAATCTAATAACATCGAATATTATTGTGAGCAAATTGCGGGAGTCGAACGACCCTGATCCGAAAATTAGACACGCGCATGACTTAGAAAAGCTAGGAGAATACATTCGTAGTATTTTACCAGATAACTCCAAAGGAGTTCAGGTCAAAAAATTGATAAGAATAGGCAAGAGGACCGAGGACAATGTTGAACCCCGTCCATGCAGATTCCTTAAGGTAATCCTAGGATCGGAGAAGCAACGGGATCTCTTGTTAAGTAGCGCTCGTTGTCACGACAATTCTGACATTCGAGTTAGACCTGACATGCCTCTCGAAGATAGAATAAAAAGGAAGAAAGCACTAGCTGAACTTGAAACCCGTCGGCAAAACGGCGAGGAAAATCTCCGGTTAGTGGGTTTTCGGATAGTCAGGTCTTGGAAGCGAATGCTACCAAGGCCTGTGTGGATAGGCCGTTCTACTTAGGAGTTTTATATGCCAACGCTCGTAGTTTACGAAATAAGTTCTATGAACTAGAAGCACTAGTAGACAGGTTAAAGCCACTCATAGTAGCAGTGACAGAAACTTGGTTGGTCCATGACTTAGACATTACTCCAGAATTATCCGGATACCATTGCATCAGGAGTGATAGACATAGATGTAGAAAAGGAGGCGGCGTCCTGTTATATATCGCCAATGGCATAAATATCCGCTCCTTTACTAGCGAATCCCATGATAGCGGCACTTGTGAAGTCATTAGCTGTAAGTTGGCAATAGGATGTAGTACATTTATGCTAGGTGTCATCTATCGGAGCCCAATCTGCTTAGCTGATGACTTTGTTTTAGAGCACATTCATCTTTGGAGTGATAATACCAGGTGCTTGATAATAGGAGACTTTAACGCACCTGATATTAGTTGGACTGATATGACCACAGAAGGATCTATAAACTCCTTTGATAGTAGGTTACTGATAACAATAATGGAGCATGCACTAGTGCAGCATGTATCCCAACCCACACGTTTTGGTGTTAACCAGGGTTCTTCTCTGCTGGATTTGGTAATCACTCATGAGACTGAGGATATTGTCGACTTAAATATTCTTCCACCGTTAGTAAACAGCGATCACGCTGTTTTGTCATTCGCGTTTAGAACTAGGGACATGTTATACGATCAGGTTACACCGCGCCCAAATGTATGGAAAGCTAACATATCAGCCATTCAGGAATGCGCTGCTAAGACAGATTGGTTAGTAGATACTAGCATATCAGTTGAAGAAGCATGGTCTGTATTTAAAGGTAAATTTAGACTAGTTACGTCCCCGTTCATACCATACCTGGTACCGCGAAGACCGAAAAATAGTCCACCATGGATAACTAAAACGGTCAGGAAACTCCTTAGAAAAAGGAAGAATCACTGGAATATGTTCATCTCTACTGGCTTAGAACAATACAGATCCAGTTATTGTAAGATTAGGAATGCCTGTAAAGCGTTAATAAGCAAGACTAGACATTCATACGAAAAACAATTGGTTAGGGATTCTAGATATAGTCCGAAACGGTTATTCTCGTATATAAAAAGGCGAACTAAGAGAAGCGATGGAATTCCATCACTTTTGATACGAGACAATCCGTTAATCTTAGCAGAGAATGATGCCGAAAAAGCTGAAGCTTTATCGGAATATTTTAGTAAAGTGTTTTCTATCGGTAATGAGGAACGACCAATGATTCATTGTGGCCGTGACGGCTCGCTGATGGATCCTGTAGTCATTGAGAAAGATACTGTTTTAAGGCTACTTCAGCATCTCAAACCTGATAAGTCCAGTGGTCCCGATGATATTCATCCTAGGATTATGAAAGCCATATCAGATGAAATTGCTGAACCATTAGCGATACTATTCGACATGTCTCTGAGACAGTCCAGACTTCCTAGAGACTGGAAAGACGCCATAATAAGTCCGGTGTATAAGGCTGGGAGTAGGGATTTAGTTAGTAACTATAGACCCGTTAGCTTAACTAGTGCAGTTGTGAAACTGATGGAGAAAATCATTCAGATAGCTGTTATAAACTATGTTGAAGGGCAAAATCTTTTCTCCAGGGCACAACATGGTTTTCGGAAAGGCCTATCTTGCTTGACAAATCTTCTCATTGCACGAGAAGAGTGGGCTGCGGCAAAGGATCGGAATGCTCCTGTGGATGTAATTTTCATAGATCTAAGTAAAGCCTTTGATAAGGTTTCACACTCTGGTCTTAAATTCAAACTGAAACGTTTTGGAATCCATAACACAGTCGTCGATTGGATAAGTAACTTTCTCCACGACAGGAGACAAAGGGTAAGGGTTAATGGGGCTCTCTCCTCGTGGGTACCTGTAAAAAGTGGGGTTCCCCAAGGCACAATCCTAGGTCCTCTTCTCTTTTTAATTTATGTAAATGAATTGCCAACTGTAGCAAAATCATCCGTTCTACTCTTCGCTGATGACATAAAGATTTGGAGACCCATACATAGTATGTCGGATAGAATAGTATTACAGGACGATCTTAGCTCATTGGTGGCATGGTTAGACAGGTGGTCACTAGAAGTAAATCCTAATAAGAGTGTAGTGATGCAGTTAAATAACTCTGATGAATCGTATGACTATACACTACGTGGATTCGTGCTACCCAAAGCAAGAAACTATAAAGACTTAGGAGTTATATTAAGCAATGATCTCAAAACGACTAGTCACTGTAAGGCTGCTGCTGCAAAAGGCTATAGGGTATTATGGTCAATTCGTAGGTCTTTTCAGTATTTAGATGATGAAATGTTTGGATTACGATACCCGATTTATGTGCGACCACATTTAGAATACGGGATTCAAGCAGCGAGTCCTTGTTTCAAATATGAAGCAGATATGCTAGAAAGAGTCCAACGACGAGCTACTAAGATGGTACAAGGTCTATCTGGCCTATCTTATGAAGACAGACTGAGAAACCTTAACTTATTTCCGTTATCTTACCGTAGAGTACGGGGTGATCTAATATTGGCTTATCGTATACTGAACGATGACCTTAGTATTAACATGTCTTATCTTTTGCTTCCGTCTAGAACCGATCATTTGAGAGGACAATCGAAGAAAGTTCAAAAACCGAGATCAAACCGTTTACGTCTGGAGTTCCGTTTCTCGCACCAAGTAGTGAATTACTGGAATTCCCTACCGGAACACGTAATATCCGCACCGTCTGTTAATATATTCAAAACGAGATTGGACCTCCACAGTATTACAAACTGTAAGGATTAATATAGGTCGACAGACCTCCTGTCCTTATTACTGAAGACTGAAGACTGAAAGCCTACAGTTCTATTAGAGCTATTGGGAATTAGACTATTCTTGGCAGCTTTTAAGTTCCTCAAACACCAACACACGCTTTGATAACGTCTATTTTCACTTCGTCAGAAGCTCACTGTGAATGAATGTATTCTCATGCTATCCAGCATGTGCTTTGAGTTTCTCAAAAAATTCAAATAGGTTTATATAATGGATTTTGCCAATAAAATAGCTGCTCATGACCTTGGTTGATCGGAAATTCATGTTGTCCATCAAATGTTGTATTTGGCCGTTGGCTCTTGTTTGGATCCGGATCATTCCACCCTTATGTAGTGACCAATTTCCAGATCAATGTAATAACTTTCTGCAGACATAAAATCACAACATTTGTAGCCGCATCAAATATTTGTGTCTAGACAGAGAAAAGCACTTTCGTCGCTACTATGTTTTTTAACCTTTGTC